TCAGATCTCATCACAGAGGTGATTACATTGTATCAGATCTCATCACAAGGGATGACTACAGCCTAACTGCCAAACCACAGAGAATCATGACCCAAACGAGTTGACACACCCCCTTAACCAACACAACCAACAAATCAAGGCTTCAGACAGGAGAGGGTTAAATGGTCAGGGAGAAGAAAGGAAGTAAATCTTACTGAGGTCTTTGATGAAGCTTGGGGCTTGACCAACATTTGATTTAATTATCATGGCAACTGTATAAGAGAGAGATTTATCCTCTTCCTTTATTCATGAGGTAGTGGGCTCAGTTAAGAGAGGAGCTGGATTATATGAAGGAGAAGGTAGCATCAGGGTTGGTGTAAGAATCATGAACAACCTTGTTGGCTGAAAATGAAGAGGACTTAAAACATTTAATGATGAAGATCAAAGACCACAACCTTTGGTATGGGCTGTACATCGATGTAAAGAAAACAAAAATCCTCACCACTGGAGCAATAAATAATATCATGATAAGATTGAAGTTGTCAAAGACTTCATTTTGCTTAGAAGCATTATCAATGCATTATCAAACGATATATTGCATTAGGCAAATCTGATGCACAAGACTTCTTTACAGTGTTCAAGGACTAAGGTGAGCCTGACCCAAGCCATGGTGTTTTCAAAAGCCTCTTGTGCATGTGAAAGTTGTACAGTGAATAAGGAAGACCATATAAGAATTGATGCATTTGAGGTAGGGTGTTGGAGAAGACTGCTAGAAGAGCAAACACATCTATATTGAAAGAAGTGCAGTCAGAGCGCCCCCTGGAGGCCAGGATGGCCAGACTTCATCTCTCATACATCGGACATATTGTCAGGAGGGACCAGTCCCTGGAGAAGGATATCATGCTAGGTAAAGTGGTTGTTGTTGTTGTTATGTGCCATCGAGTCGGTTCCGACCCATAGCGACCCTGTATAGGGTTTCCGAGGGTGTAAATCTTTACGGGAGTAGAAAGCCTCATCTTTCTCCCGCAGAGCAGCTGGTAGTTTCGAACCGCTGACCTTAAGGTTCACAGCCCAATTCGTAACCACTATGCTACCAGAGCTCCTTAGGTAAAGTGGAGGGTCATCGAAAAAAGAGGACCTCCCCCATCCCAATGAGATCGATTGGCACAGTGGCAGCAGTAATGGGCTCAAGTGTAACAATGAACAGGATTGGGCAGCATTTCGTTCTGTTGTGCACGAGGTTGCTATGAGTTGGAACTGACTCCATGGCACCTAGCCACAGCGCAGGTCAATGTAAGCTGTCTTCTTTGTTCCCTCTTCCACTTGAGCATCTTGTTTACCTGCAGCCCCCTTAGCCCCCGGCTCCAGCGCTTGGGAACTCCATTGGAATTGCCCTTTAGTTCAGTTCTGTTTTTCTCTAGATCAGTGGTTTTTCTTAAAAAATTAACTTTGTTGTTGAGATAGATGCAGCAAAACACACACCAGTTCAAGAGCTCCTACATGTTCTGCTCAGTAACATCGACTACATTCTGTGTATGGCTGCTCTGAATTCTTCTGACCCCATGAATGTCAGCTTACTGCTCACTGACCTTAAAATTGCCCAATGCTCAAGGCAGACTTTTTTTTTTTTTTTTTTAACTAGTTAAGCTAAATTATGGTTTGATTTTAAGAAGACTTCAGGGAATGTATTTGTTTTAAGGTTTAAAGATAATCTGAGGACAATAGTTTTGGGGGTTCATCCCTATAAGTCTGGAGTCCACAAAAACTTGATTAGAGCACGGGTTCTTAGCTGGGGGGTGATTTTGCCTCCAGTGTGTTTGTGATAAGGAGAAGGATTCCAATAACATAACCTTTAACCAAAACTCCACAGTAACCCAACCCTTACCCAAGAAAGATCCAATGGAACTATGCCCTTAAACCAACAAGAGGTTAAAATCTAAACCAGTGGTTCTCAACAGGGGGTGATTTTGTCCCTCTCACCCCCACCATGAAACGCTGGAAGAATGAACAAATCGGTCTTGGAGGAAGTATGGCCAGATGTTCCTGAGAAGGGAGGATGGCGAGAGTGTGCCTCACGTACTTTGGACATGTGATCAGTCAGGATCAGTCTCTGGAGATGGACACTGTACTTGGTAAAGTAGAGGGTCGGTGAAAAAGAGGATGACTATCCATGAGCTCCCCCAACAAGATGGACTGGCCAAGTGGCGGCATCGATGGACTCAAGCGTGGCAACAGTAGTGAGGTTGGCCCAGGATTGGGCAGTGTTTCGTTCTGCTGTGCATAAGGTCACTGTGGGTCGGTACCGACTCGATGGCACCTAACAATGACAACAATGCATGAGCTGGAGTGATGCGGCGGCTGCATCAAGGAGCTCAAACAGCGATGATTGTGATAATGATCCAACACCAGGCAGTGACTCATCCTATTACAGAGAGGTCCCCTGGGAGTTGGAGCCACCACCTCCTCACAGAGCACATACAAGCAGCTAGAGTGGGCATTTGGCAGGGCCATGAATTGGATGGACTGGAAGGCAAGCAACGAGAGACATTTTTTGATTGTCTCAATTCAGGGTGCTGCTCAACATCCTACAATGAATGCAGAGAACCCTAAATGTGGATGGTGATGAGGTTGGGATTCCCCATCTCAGAGTCTGTAGAACTGAGGAAGGTATATAGCAGGGAGTTGAGAGGTGAGGGGCTGAATGAGGGATCCAGTGAAAGGGACCAGAGAATCAGGAAGGAGGGGTACCCCCCAGCACCCACCCCTGGGAGCTGGGGACATGGATGATGGAGGAGGAAGCTGGGCCTGCCTTGTAAACAGGCCTTGGTTCAGTTGCAAACTGAAGATGTAGTGTCCACCTTCCAGCATCATGCTGAGGGACAGGCATATTCAGTGGGTGTGCTCATGTTTTGTTCTCTCTCTCCTCGCTCTCCACCCTGCCCTTCTCTGCTTTCTCTCTCCCTTCCCCCACTTCCTCTGTCTGTCTGTCTGTCTGTCTGTCTGTCTCTCTCCCAGGCCCCGCCCCCCGGCTGCGCCTGGCAGACGGCCCCCACGGCTGTGCTGGACGCCTGGAGGTTTGGTACGAGGGGCGCTGGGGCACCGTCTGTGACGACGCCTGGGACCTTCGCGATGCTGCCGTTGTCTGCAGGGAGCTGGGGTGCGGAGGCGCACTGGCCGCCCCCGGAGGCGCCTTCTTCGGGGAAGGGGCTGGGCCCATCCTCCTGGATGACCTTCGCTGTCGGGGCAACGAGACAGCCTTGAGATTCTGCCCGGCTCGGGCTTGGAGCCAACATGACTGTCATCACCGGGAAGACGCTGGGGCTGTGTGTGACGGTGAGGGGGGTCTTAGGTGAGCTCCGAGCCCCAGGGCTGTAGGGACCAGAAGACGCAGGACTTGTGCTTTTCCTGGCCCCTCCTTCCCTTTTTCTGAACCTTCTGTTTCTCCCACCTTCTCCTTCTCTGTGAAACGTCGCCCTCATGGGTGGTTCTTAGTTCTGGCCCCCCTACTTCCACGAACTGTCTGAAGCCCCGTCTTATAGGAGGCTAGGATCTACAACATATAGTTTTGGGGGGACAAGTTCAATCCATAGCAGTCATATTTGCAGGTTCTAGGTAGACATGAATTGGGGGGAGGGTTTGCTGAATCAACCCAGTGAACCGTGGGGATACAATGGTTAAAATGTTCACGGTTTGAACCCATCAGCTGCTCAGTGGGATAAAGATTGTTGTTGTGTGCCATACATATACAATTTAGGAAACCCTATTGGGCAGTTCCCTGTTCTTGAGGGTGGCTGAGTCCAAATGGTTTTGTTTTGGTTGGATGAGTTAGTAGGCACCTTGGTGGCAAAGTGGCTAAGCGTTCAGCTGATAACTGAATGTCAGTGGTTTGAACCCGCTGTCTGTTCCACAGGAGACAGATGTAGCAGTCTGCTTCTGTAAAGGTTTCTAGCCTTCTGTAAATCTTCTGGAAAGATCTAGAGACCCTAGGGGCCAGCTCTACTCTGTCCTAAAGGCTCCGCTGTGAGTTGGAATCGACTCAATCGCAGTGTGTTTTGTTTCTGTTACTGTTCAGTGCAATACACCTGCCTATACCAGCTGTGTCCTCTTGGACGCTGCTTCCTAGACCCCAATCTGAGTGCATCCTCACCTCTGTCTAATGTTATTTCTTCTTTTCTCTGTCACCCTCAGCCCAGATGTCCTTTCCCCCTCTGCCGCCCCAGATCAGGGACGTAGAAAGCTTGGGTTGTATCTAGGGAGGAAGTTTAGCAGGACGGGGTACCTGAGTGTGTGCAGGTGAAAAGGGAGGAGCAGGGAGGATGGACGGGGTGAAGGAGAAAAGGGTGCAGATGGCAGCTTGGGTGTGGGTGGTGATCACTTCTTGTCCCTATTCCAGGCATGCCCCTTGGCTATGTCCTCCCCACGGCCCCCACAGTGGGCCACAACAACACAACCACCAGGACTCTGACCCCCACGTCAACCCAGATTTCCTGGACAGCTAGCGTCTCACCTCCACCAGTCTCCTCTACTGTCCCCCTAGAGCCCAGACCAGCAGCCGGTGAGTGTCTAGCTGTTCCCCGAGAAAACAAGGTCTTAGCTTCTGGTTCCTTCTTCCTACCGACCCCACCCCAGGGTCCCTTTCTCCCTGCTCAGAAGGACCCTGGGCTTAGTGTAAGGTTCTGCGCTCACCATCTTAGGATCCCTGGGCTTGTATTTGACTACTAAACTGAAGGTTGAAGGTTCAAACGCGCCCAGCAATGCCATGCTTCTGAAAAGGTCACAGTAAAGAAAGGCCCATGGAACACAGTTCTATCCTGCAACACATGAAATTTCCATGAGTTGGAATCAACTCGATGATACTAGGTTCTGTGTTCGTCTGTTGTTGTTGTGTGTTTTTGTCATCTTTAAATTCTTTGATTGGTGCTCCTGTTGTTCCTCACTGGTTTCTGTGCTGAATACGTACAAGGGGGCTTCAAAAGGTTCATGGGGAAATGGAATGAAAAGATAATGAAAGCTTCTAATGAAGGGTTTTGAAGCCCCTCATATTTTCTAGAGTACCATTTGAATTCCCTTGTTGGTCTCGTGTTATAGAGTTCGGAATTCGTTTTTTTCTTCGTGCTTTACCCGGGGATAACAAAGTTGCATTATAACTAACACACTCCGGTTTTGATTTATCCCAACTTAATTTTAATTTGTTGTTGTTGTTGTTATGTGCCGTGGAGTCGGGTCCGACCCATAGCGACCCTGTACAGGGTTTCCGAGGGTGTAAATCTTTACGGGAGCAGAAAGCCTCATCTTTCTCCCATGGAACAGCTGGTAGTTTCGAACTGCTGACCTTGTGGTTAGCAGCCCAATTCGTAACTGCTACCAGAGCTCTGGTAGCGTAGTGGTTACTAATCGGGCTGTGAACCTTAAGGTCAGTGGTTCGAAACTACCAGCCGCTCCGCGGGAGAAAGATGAGGCTTTCTACTCCTGTAAAGATTTACACCCTCGGAAACCCTGTACAGGGTCGCTATGGGTCGGAACCGACTCGATGGCACTTAACAACAACAACCAGAGCTCCTTATTTTAATAGTATATATAAACTTTGCTCTTAGATAATTTCATTTCCTGCTTCCTTTATCTTGTTGAAATTCCTAATGTTTAAAAAAATTTTTTTTTTAATTCGTATTTTACTGTGCTTTGGTGAAGGGTTTACACCGCGGTTTGGGTTCCTATCCAATAATTTCTGCTCCAGTTGTTCAATGCCATGGGTTCCATTCTGTGCCTGAGCAGTTGGGTTACTTCCCTTCTGAGTCTTTGTTTCCATTCATCTCATTCCATCTCATCTTTGTTGGAAAGTCATCACGGATCCTTTGGTCTCATCTGGAGGATTGTTGGCAGCAACAAAGTGCTCACTAGTGACATTCTTTATTTTATATAATGGAAACCATAGTGCTTTGTCTGTCTTCCTTCTCACAAATATTGAAAGAATTAGGTCCACGATGACTGATACCCATTGTTCATTGAGAGCAATCATTATCTTCTCAAGACTGGAAATGGCTGAACACGAGGAATTGTTATCTCTGCCTGATACTATACTGAAAGCTTCTCTCCCCATTTCCAGAGAAATAACGAATAGTAGTAATAATCATATCAAACCAAACCATTGAATCTACTCTGACTCATGGTGTCCCCATGTGTGTCTAAGAAGAGCTGTGCTCCATGGAGTTTTCGTTTCTTTTTAAAAACTTTTTATTATGAATTGAGGGAAGGTTTACAGACAAGTTCATCAGTTTTGCATTCAACAAATCCGACACTTTGTTTCATCTCAGTGATTAGAATCCCCTCCATGTAACAACAGGTACCCTACCCTGCTTCCTCCCTGTGCTTCCTGTTTTTAGTCCACCCTCCTTCGCAACTTTGTCTTTAGGTAGATGTTGCTCTTTTGATTTTGAATGACCATTCCATGGTGAGCAGAGCTTGCCATAAACCCATCTACTGTTTGGCTGAAAATCGGGCCACGAGGGTGAGTTCCGTACTAGACCTGAACGGTGGTCGAGGGCCAGAGACTCAGCTTCCTCCTGTCTCTTTCTGACATGTAATCTTGGGTTTTTTTTTAAATAATTTTAAGTTTTGTTCCACAGTCTATCTGGGACCTTCTAATATGATCTCTTCCAGAGCAGTAGTTAATGGTAGTCGGGCACTATCTGGTTCTTCTGGTCTCAGAGTCATGGACACTGACGTTGACATGTTCCATGAGTCCATTGGACTAACTGATTCCAAGCATCTTCAATTCTCCTCACTCTGCTTTCTTCTGCACACGGAGAGACCAATCTCTGCACCTTAGATGGCTGCTCATGAGCTTTCAAGATCCCAGAGGCTACTCACCGAAGCAGGAAGTAGACCATGGTCTTTGTAGGAAGTAGACCATTGTCTTTGTGAACCTTTATGCTAATTTATCATGGTGTCCCCTGAGACTATGGTTCTGAGCCTTCAGGCTCAGCAAGGGTTTGCATTTTGTTGTTGGTATTTATTTTTTTCAACTTTTTAAATTGTTGCTTAGGTGAAAGTTTACGGAGCAAATTAGTTTCCCAGCCAACAGCTTCTCCATAGGATTTTTCAGTGGTGGATTTTGGGGGGAACTAGGTTACCAGGCATTTCTTCCGAGGCATCTCTGGGTGGACTCGAACCTCTAATCTTTCAGTTAGCAGTCAGGCATGTTAACTCACACCAGCCAGGATTCTAATGACAGTCAATAATAGTAATAATAGGTAAATGTAACTTTTATTGTCTCCATGGATTTGCCCATTCTGTTTATATTTCACAAAGCAACCATGGTGGTACAGTGGCCAAGCGCTTAGCTGCTAACCTAAAGGTCAATGGTTCGAATCCATCCATTGCTCAATGTTCTTTGAGTTTTGAGAACAAAAAGGAAATCTGAAGGTGAGAGAGGTCAGGGCTGTAGGTGTATGGGATAAGGGTTTCCCAATGAAATTCTCATAGAGGAAGGAACAAGTACATTATTGTGATGGAAAAACATTCCTTGGTACAACTTTTCCGGCCTTTTTCTCACGGATGGAGTTTTCCTCTTTTTTTTTTTTTTTTAAAAAACCTTCTTTATAATAAGCCCTTGTGATTGTTGTTCGTCAGCTTCCATAAAGCCTGCAGCCTTGGAAACCCTATACTCTGACCTCTAGGGTTATTATGCATTGGGGTTGACTTGACAGCAAAGATTTTTGTTTTTGTTTTATTTTTAGATATTTCACATAAATGAGATCATATGATCTGCGGTCTTTTGTGAGTGGCTTCTTGCAGGTACAAGGAGGTCTTTGTGGTTCACCCATGTTGTAACATGTAACCAGCACTATTCTTCTTTTTATGGCTGAATAGTATTCCATTATAGGAATATAAACAGTTGGTCCATTCTTCTGCTGATGGACACTTGGGTTATTTCCATTTTTTGTTATTGTGAATGGTGTTGTTATGAACATTGATGTACAAGTATGTGCCTGAGTCTCTGGGGGTCTATACCCAGGGATGGAATTGGAGGGACCAGTTGCTGGAGAAGGACATCATGCTTGGTAAAGTAGAGGGACAGCGAAAAAAAGGAGACACCCTAATGAGATCTATTGACATAGTGACAACAACAATGGGCTGTAGTGTAGCAGCGATTGTGAGGACAGCGCTGGACAGGGTGGTGTTTTGTTCTGTTGTACATAGGGTCGCTATGGGTTGGACGGTTCCTAAAAACAACAATGATCATTCTTTACTTAGTTTTATGAGAAACTTCAAAACTGTACGTAATTCTAAAGGTGGCCCAGAAAAAACCTCAGTAAATGCTTGCTGTCCCCAAAGAAGAAGGGGTGAATGTGGGAAAGCCTAGCTGAATACATGGAGGAGTCAAAAGGAAGATGGAAGATACAACTGATTAAGGGAGAGAGTGTTTCACTTGTACACCAATGTTCATAGCAGTGTCGTGCATAGTAACCAAAAGGTAGAAAGAACCTAAGTGCCCATGAACAGATAAGTAGATAATCAAAACATGGTACCTACCTACATACCACAAACTACACCCTCTCCTCACTTACCAACCATCTCATTATCCAGCACTTCACATTTAAGAGAGCAGTAAACGATCTACCTTCTGACCATTTTTCACACGTGGCTGGCAGTAACGAACGTCGAGGTGTGAGGCAAGAGGCCCATGCTTCTCAGCGGTTTTGCAGCTGTGTAAGGATGTAATTTGTCAGTTATGTAATGATGTATTCACCCTCCATTTGGTGATCTGATGTGGTCATCTTCCATTTTCATGTAATGCCGATTTTCACTTAACGACCTGGTCTTTGGAACCTAACCATGTCTGTAAGTGTTTTATGCGAGCACAAGATAAACGATGTCCTGATACATGCAGGGCATCAATGAACCTTAGAAGCGTTATGCTAAGTGAAATAAACTAGACCTGAGAGACCACATATTATATGATCTCACTGATATGACATGTTGAAGAGCAGAGATGTCAGCTTGAGGACTAAGGTGCGCCTGACCCAAGCCATGGTATTTTCAATAACCTCATATGCATGCGAAAGCTGGACAGTGAATAATGAAGACCGTAGAAGAATTGATGCTTTTGAGTTATGCTGTTGGAGGAGAATATTGAAAGTGCCATGGGCTGCCAAAAGAACCAACAGATCCATTTTGAAAGAAGAAGTGCGGCCAGAGTGCCCCCTGGAGGCCAGGATGGCCAAACTTCGTCTCTCATACTTCGGACATATTGTCAGAAGGGACCAGTCACTAGAGAAAGATATCATGTTTGGTAAGATGGAGGGTCAGAGAAAATGAGGAAGACCCCCAACGAGATGGATTGGCCAAGTTGCAGCATCGATGGACTCAAGCGTGGCAACAGTTGTGAGGTTGGCCCAGGACTGGGTAGTGTTTCGTTCTGTTGTGTGTGGGGTCACTATGAGTCGGTACCAACTCAATGGCACCTAACAACACCTGATAAGAAATATCTAGAATAGGTAAATTCATAGAGACAGGAAGTAGATGAGTGGTTATTGGGGCTTGGGGTTAGAGGGAGGATTTGGGGTGACAAAAACTTTTGGAAATAGATAATAATGGTGCTTGCACAACATGCTCAATGCAGGTCATGTCACTGGGCTGTAGACTTAAAAATGGTTAAAACAATAAGTTTTTTGCTATGCAAGCAAAGTCCAAAAGCATCCCTACCAATGTTCCGGTTCCTACACGTATGAGCTTATTCCAAACAAAACATGCATAAAGATGCTTCTGTGACCAGTGAGTGGCTGCAGAGAAGTCCTTTAACTAATGGACCTTCACTAATGGCTGGGGTGCTGCTTCCATAAGGCTGGACCATGTGGTCTGAGTGGGGGACCAAAGCTTCGCTCCCCTACTGTCCTGCTGCTCCCTGGGGGAGGCACAATGGTGTTAGTCTCCTTAGGGTAATTTCAAAACAAAGGCCCCGATCCAAACAGTGGCTTCTGATGAGCCTGGGCCAGTTACATTCAAGGCAGAGAGGTCAGCTCACAAGGTTATGATGACTTGTTTATGTGCGAGTCCAGCTCACACCACCAGAGCGGCGGAGATGACGCAGTTTAGAAATAAAACACAGACACAAGTTAGGCATTAAGGGAGACCGCAAGACTCATGACCTCTAGGATCAACAGCCCAGCAATCTGTAAGATCAAGAGCCCGGAGACATGGCGGTACTCGGTACTCCATATTTATTAGTCTCCAGCCTTTTCATCCCCCCAGGATGCCATCCATCACTGACATTAAAGGGGCCTTTTGATGTTATACAGAATAAGGAAATGTTCTTAGGGGAGAGACAAACAAGACTATAATTCAGGGATGCATGAGTGGGTTTCGAGAGAGAACAAGGCAAGGTGCCGGTTATCACATCTGGTCATCGCGTACCAATCCGGCTTTCCGCCATGGCATTAGTATCCAGGAGTAGCTTTCTGCTTCCTTATGCCATGGCCAGGACGTGACTCCCTTCCTCCTGCATCTGTTCTTGGTGGTCTCCAACAGTTTTGTTTTGTTTTTAATTTTGTGGGGAGGAGAGTGGAATCAAAAGGTCTCATGTTGATAGATTTTTCTTAAAGGACATAGGACAACCACATGGACTTATTATGAAGAAGTTGGTTTTCAAATGGAAAACTCCACTGGTGAAAAAAAAACCCTGGAACATTGTGCCAAGGATTTGTTTTCCATCACAACACCGTATTTCTTCTATGGGAAGTTCATTTGGAAGCCTGACCCCACACTCCCTACAGCCCTGATCTTTGGCCTTCCAATTTCCTTCTTGTTCTTGAAACTCCAAGATCATAGAAAAGGAAGACAAGTAGAGACGCTTAAGATCCCAGAAGTGCCATCTTGATGTGGTGTGAATCAGAAAGCCAGAACTCTTTGGGGAAGAGTTAGCGAGCTGGAAACATTACTTTCAGGTGTGTGTAGGCCTAGATGGAAGAGACTTCAAGAAACATTAGCTACACGTTTCTGTATTTTTGTTTAATGAAGGTTTCTATGATTTTGTAGCTTAGTTCCCTAGTGCTGTTGTAACGAAATACCACATGTGGATACCTAACAAACAGAAACGTGTTGTTTCATAGTTTAGGAGACTAAAAGTCCAGAGTCAGAGCAGCGCTGGCTCTGGAGAAATGCCTTTGTTCCCTCTCAGCATCCGTAGGCTCAGCATGCCTTGGAGCTCCCCATGTGTCTCAGCATCAGTCTTCCCCTGGATCCGGGAGCTTCACAGCGCAGGGGCCCCGGGTCCAAAGGACACACTCCACTTCCGGCTCCTCTTTCTTGATCTTAGTAGGTCCCTCTGATCTCTGCTCATCTCCCTCACTGTTTTTCTCTTGTAAGATGAAGAGTGACTGCAGGCTAGATGTCTTGGAAACTCCCTTGCGTTGGATCAGGGTTGTGATGAGATTAAGGGTATTGCATGCCCCCTTTAATCCTCTTCTTGGGAAATCAGCGCATTAAGTGATGTATCACATCATTACGTAACTGTCAAACCATTGAGCATCGTAATACACATTACGTGTGTGTGTGTGTGTGTGTGTGTGTCAGGGGGAGTGCAAGGGGGGACACAGTCCAGTCCATGATTGTAGCAATATTGTTTAGCTTAGCCCTGTGTTTTACCAGAATAAAATTTAAAAATTAAAGGCAGAGAGTTGGACAGCTCCCTGACTTTCTTGCTCTTTGGGTTTCTCCCCCATTCCTTCCCCCCCCCACCAGGGTTGCCCCACCTGCGTCTAGTGGCTGGAACCAGTAGGTGCTCAGGCCGGCTGGAGGTGTGGCACGCTGGACGGTGGGGCACAGTGTGTGACGATGGCTGGGATTCCAGGGACTCAGCTGTGGTCTGCCGGGAGCTGGGCTGCGGAGAGGCTCAGCAGTCAGATCCTGCTGGTCGCTTCGGCTGGGGCGCTGGTCCCATATGGCTGGACGACGTGGCCTGTGTGGGGACCGAGACTTCACTTTCTAACTGTCCTGCTGCACCCTGGGGGAAGCACAACTGTGCTCACAACGAGGATGTAGGGGTCACCTGCACAGGTAAGGAGGGTCTCCCCTGCACCAATGGGGCTTCCTGGAGGATGGGGTGGGGACCAACATTGCCACTAATATCGACTGAACGCCTTCTACGCACCCCGACTCTGTGCTGGCTGCCTTCACACGTGTGGACACTTTCAACTCTCACAATAAATCTTGGTGGGTGGACGTTATGTCCATTTTATTGAAGAAAAAGCTGAGGCACAGTGAGACTCCTACCCCGAGAAGCTCCTTCCTGCTGTCAGGAATCAAACCTGCCTCCCACAAAGCAGGAGGCACCATCTTGGCTGAGATGAAAGAAGAGGATGCAGGGGCGTTGGTAGAGGAAGAGAAGGTAGAGTGAGGGCCAGTTAAAATCAAGGCAGTGCAGTGTGCTTGCTGGATTGCTGATACCACAAGGCCTGTGGCCACCTCCGTAAAGCCCACCATTGGCATAGACTGTTTGGTCTGGCCCATGGCTTCAGTAAACAAAGACAGTCTTACCAGGCAGAACATTCCTAGGAGTTAGAGGTTATATTCTAGGAGGCAGGCAATGGTCAGAACTCTTTGGAATGTGCAGTGTTTGGATAACGCAGACCTGCTGAGTAAATCCTTGGCTTCATACATGCACTCATCAGAAAGATGCAGGATGACTAGCGCTGACTCAGAATGCAAGCAGCAGCTCGGCTCAAAGCTAAGGTGCTCCCTCCTCCTCCTTCCCGAGGACCACAGGGATCCACCAAGTCCTTTGCCACTGAGTCCACTCGACTCAGAACAACTTTATTGTCCTGAACAGGGCTGCTGTCCAGGGGATTTCCAAGGCTGTAATCGCTACAACAAAATATTACAGCCTTGGAAACGGGCAGTTCCACTCTATCTAATAGGGTTTCTGTGAGTCACAAGCAACTCGGTGGTAGTGAGTAATCTTATGGAAACAGACAGACTCACATCTTTCTCCCATAGAGCCGATGGTGGGCTCTACCTATGGATCTTTGGGCTAGTAACTGAGTGCTGAGCCACTAGGCCACCAGGACTTCTAGATGGGGAACCCCAAAAGGGCTTTTAAAACTAATATTATACTGTGTTTCTGATGAAGGTTTGCCCAGCCACTTAACTATCTATTTCATAATTGCTACACACATTGTTTAGTGACTTTTGTTACGTTCTTCACAATACATGGACATTTCATGATTTCTGGTGGTTCCATTTCTATTCATCTAGTTTCCCTGCCCCCTTACATTCTCGTCTCTGTTTTAAAGTAATTGTTGGCCTATAGATGACTTTCTAAAGAAGTTCAGTCGTCATAGGTGATGTTCTTTATTTTGTGAACCAATCTGTTATCTCGTGCATGAGTAATTTCTTTGAGACAGATCAGCACACGAGTAGCCCCTGTGAAGTAGAGGTTAAAGATATCCCAATTGTTGGACTTTTCCAACATGTTATGCCCTCCACAGTCCTTGATACCAATCACCACTCCTCCCTTCCCTCAAATCCCAGGGTTCTGCAACATGCTGCATGCAACACCTCACAAAACTCACATTTGTCCAAAGAAATGGCTTGTGCAATTGTGGTGCTGACCAAGCCCAAATCCATCAGAGCTCAGTCTGGAGGAATCTTTATACCCATGTAGCTTCAGGAGTGAGGAACCCAAATCTGTAGGTCAGACGTCCGACTGTTGGGGCACGAGGCTGAGGGAGCTGATGAGTCAGCTCAGTAAATGCCCACATACTGAGGGTCAGACTAAGGAACCAGATGCAAGATCCAGGGCAAGGGAGCAAGCTTCTCTAAAGCAGATTTATAAATTAAAGTCAGACCATGCCCCCAAGGGAGACTAAGTTTAGTGGCTTGAGTCACATCCTCTGCTAAAGTGGGGGCATCCTTAATCCTTCATCCCACTGTAATCTCTTCCTTGTTGTTGTTGTTAAGTGCCATTGAGTCGGTTCCGACCCATAGCAACCCTGAACAGGGTTTACCGAGGCTGTAAATCTTTCCGGGAGCAGAAAGCCTCCTCTTTCTCCCACGGAGCCACTGGTAGTTTCGAACTGCTGACCTTGTGATTCGCAGCCCAATTCGTAACCACTACGCTACCAGAGCTCCTTAATTAGCCCCACCTTAATCTTTATCCTTAGCAGCTTCTTTCAAAATGGGCCCATAATCATAGGCAGAGAGATTAGAATTTCCAATACATCCCCAAATGGAGCAATAATGCTAGTGAACTGCTTTGCATTTAGTTCAAAGGTGACTTCAGGGGCTAAGTTCAAGTTCAAGGTTTAGTTCTGGGCCATACCTCAGGGAATCCTCTAGTCTTAGTTGGTCTTTTAAGTCTGATTTTGTTGTTATTGTTTTAAGAATGTGAGACTCTGGCCTCCATTTTGTCTCCTGTTCTATCAGGATCATGTGGAGTCCTGGTGTGGCGCTGTGGGTTAATGCGCCAGACTGCAAAGCTGTTTAAACTACAAGGTTGGTGGTTCAAGCTTACCAGTCGCTCCTTGGAAACCCTTTTCAGGGTCGCTATGGGTCGGAACCAACTCGACGGCACTTAACAACAACATCAGGATCATGTTCTGTGGTTCTGATCAAAAGGATTGTGTTAGTAACCAGGCGCCACCTAGCTCGTCAGGATACCTGAGGCCATCCGTGGCTTGTGCAGACTGGATCCTGTAGACGAGGTTCTTCACTGAGTCGCTGGCTTCCTTGGATCTCTTTTGCTCACACAGTTTAGAGACCCGATCGTTGCATCTTAGATGTCTGCTTTACTAACGGGGTAGAGTGACCCGTCCTGGATGCTAGGAAGGTCCCTCTGGTGGTTGGTGAGAACTTGAGGGAGACAAACAGGAAATCAGGGAACCCTTCAGAAGGGACTAAAGACAGAGGCTGAGGAAATGGAGTGGAAGGTGTGAATACCAGGAGGTAAAGGAGGGGTTAGCCCCATTAGATTGTCAGTGCCAAGATGGCACAGGCTGATGCCCAGTCTGGCTTGTTGCGGTGCCCTGTGGTCTAGCACTATGCCAGGCACGTGTGTGGTTGTTGTCGCTAAGTGCCAGTGAGTTGGTTCCATATGTTGTTGTTATCGTTGTGTTGTGGAATTGGTTCCGACTCATTGTGGTTTCCGAGGGTTTCCGAGGACCAGCTGGTGGGTTTGAACCACTGACCTTGTGGTTAGCTATCCAGTGCTTATCTTACAGCACCACGCCGGGACTCCTATCCTGGAAGTCACAATAAATATTTGTGATGAATGAATGGTTAACACAATGAACTAGAACTTAGTGGTTGACTAGAGGAAGAGATGAGATTTATTATCACTGTGTCTGCCACCCTGTCTCTCCTCTACATCCCTGCTTCCTCCTTTCAGGGACTCCGGGCCTGGACTCCATCCCAGATCCGTTCAGTTGGAGCTGGATCCCAGAATTAGGAAGAGATCAGGATGCCTGGCTCCCGGAGGAGCTGGCCACCAAGCCCTCTGCAAAGCTGGTCCCTAGCACTCCTGAGAAAACAACCACTAAGGCCCCACGGAAAATGCCCAAGAGTACTAAGAAGTGGGTGACAAAAAATGCAAGAAGGCCAACCACTCAACCACCAGCGATGCCAACCACTAAATACTCCAGGGGCTCGGGCACCCCAAGTCCCCTAGAACTAACCTCACAGACCACCACAACCCAGACCACTGAGGCCTCCCAAAGACCTCTCTCTGAGTTTACCACAAAGATGACCACTGAGGCCTCCCACAGACCAACCTCAGATACCACTGCGACGCTTACACCTCAGACCTCCCGAGAACCTGTCTCTAAGACCTTGGCAATGCCAACCACTCAGGGCCCCCATGAAATGACCTCTGAGACCACTACCAAGCAGACCCTTCAGACCTCTGCAGAACCACCCTCCACTGGCACCACCTCTGGCTTGTCAGGTGAGAGTGGCAGCAACATAAAGGGGCGTGGGGAATGAGACACTGACCCCAGCTGACCTGAGGGCCTTCTACCGGCAGGCCCCTTCTGGGTTCGTCTGGCCGATGGGCCCAACCGGTGTGCTGGACGCTTAGAAGTGTGGTATGCTGGACGCTGGGGCACAGTGTGCGATGACAGCTGGGACCTTCGCGATGCCACTGTGGCCTGCTGGGAACTGGGTTGTGGAAAGGTCCGGCCCCGAGTGGGCAAAACCCACTACGGCCCAGGGACGGGGCCCATCTGGTTGGATGATGTGGGCTGCAAGGGCAGTGAGGCATCGCTGAGCGACTGCCCTGCTGGGGCCTGGGGGAAGCACAACTGTGACCACGAAGAAGACGTGGGGATCACCTGCACTGGTACCGAGGGTGGGAAGGCGAGGATGGGGAGGTGGCGGAGGTCATGTGTTCAAGGGCGGGGGGCGGGGTGAGGCCAGGTGGCAGCATCATGGTGGCATCTAAAGGACTGGGCATGACAGTGTGAGTGGGATGCAGAATCCCTCCAGGAGACACCAAAAAGGAAGAGGGGAGCAGGGGAAAGGACGTCTGAGACCAAGGACTGGGCTCAATCCTTCCCCCAATTCCTCCCAAGGCTACACAGATGATGAGGATTATCCGCCCTGGACCTGGGATCCTACCTCAGGAGAGGACCTGGCCAAAGAGACCACTACTGCAGGGGTACCTGGACAAAGTTTCTCTAGAGGCACCACCAGTAGAGCTGAAGCTACCCCCCCAACAACAAGGCCCCTTCCGGACACAGGTGAGCGGCAAGACCATGGTGGTGGAGGCTCTTCATAGATTTCCATCTGCCTCTCTGAAGGGCTTCTGGAAAGATCCTTCTTAACAAGCTAGTCTCAGAGATGTGGCCCAGGTTTTTCTGGGCTCCAGAGACCCCCCCCCAAAATGTTCCCTCTATGTCCTCCAGAGTCGGAACGAGGAAATGACCTTGAAAGCTCAGGGTCTCTGAGAGACTGAATCAGTCTCACCACATCCTGAACCCATAAGCCTTATAAAAACCTACATGGATCCCCAGGGAATTGGCCGTATAGACTATGCCTGGCCAGGGGACCCTCCATCCGTAATCTCAGTGGCTAAGGGCTACTCTGACACTATGTCATCATTCCGCAAAGCAGGTGAACTCTGCCTGTTCTCGTCTCTCAGCCCAGTTCCATCCTGGCGTTGAAGCCAGGGTCTCCCTTCACTCGTCTCTAGTCCTCTTTCAAGAATTCTGTTGCTCACACTTTCCCTGTTTCTTTTTTTCCCTCTTTCGTGGTCAATTTCTCATGTTTTTCACAATCCATTTCCCTCTCTCTCTTTTCACGATTCATTTCTTCTTTCCTCTGGGCGTCCTCTTTTTTCTTTGGTTATAAATGTTTATCTTCATCATTTCTGTCTTTATTTTCCCCACAGTCAACTTCTCTTGCTATTTTTTTCCCCGTCACCATCTTCAGTCACTTTTTCCTTTTGTTATCAATTTCACTCTTTCATCATTTCTATTTCTCTGTTTTTCATGACCAATATTTCTTTATCTTCTTTCCTCTCAGAGTCCTCCCTTTTTTAAAAATCAACTTCTACACTCATCTTCATTTCTCACTTTATTTTTTTCCTGTCAGTTTTTCTTTGTTGTTGTTGTTAAGTGCCGTCGAGTCGGTTCCGACCCATAGCGACCTTGTACAG